TGTAGCTTTACAATAAAGTAGAATTAGCTTATCTGGTCATGTTTCCTGTCTGGTCTACTTGGTAAGGCTGACAAACTAGGACCAGGGAGATTGAAGTCCACCCTCAGCCATGGAAGCTCACAGGGTGACTTTGGGCCAGCCACACTCTCTCAACACACCTGACTCCAGAGGGTAGTTGTAATGAGGAAAAATGGAGGAGGGAGTGCTACACATGCCACCCTGAGCTCCTAGTGGAAAGGAGGGGTGCACATCTAAGAAATAAATGAACAGGACACTTGAGGTTACTGCTGAAAACAAGTAGCAAGAATTACTAGGCAAATCAATATTTTAGAATTTTAAACATAGGTAGCCTGATTTTATGGTAGGTTTCACACATCACACTTGAACATAATGTGGTTTGCCTAGCTTTGGCTTATAATGTTCTGTGAATCCAACCTTATGAACTGTAAACCATGGCTTATACCTTAGTGTAGTATATAAACCTCACCAATTCTGGTTTATTCTACAAAAAATGTTAAAGAATCAAACCATTGCCTACAAGTAAATCCCTCTTTATGGCAATAAGTATAGCAATGCATTTTAAGATTATAGACATGCTGTGGTGCAGAAATTTATTATAGAAAAAACTGGTGCCTTTTGATCCATTATTTACCATCTGAAAAGTACCAGCAGGGAGCCAGTACTTGATCAGACATATTTCTTTGCAGAGATTTTCAGATTAGTTATTTATTTTTTTAGATTTGGAGGCTGCCTGACTCCCAGTCAGCTCTGAATGACTCATATCCAAGGACAGGAAACAATGAAATAGAACCATACCCATACACATCCATATACATCCAGAAAAAACACAAATGAAATTATACCACCATGCAACAATCTCCAGACCAAATCTGTGTGATAGAAAATTATGAAATGATTTTAACTGTGATAAATTACTTCCAAAATATGTTATCAGTTTTGACGTAGATTGCACATTTTTATAATACAGAATCATGCATAAGGTAACTTAGTTTTAGAAACAGAAAACTGAAGAACACTGTGTTGATTTTTCCTCCTAGATATATTTCAATGGAAACATCTGCCAATGTTTATCTGCCAACAGAGATGCTTAAAATAAAGATGTTTTCATTAAGTTAAGAGAAACAAGGGGACAGACTCCTAGTGTACATCTCCTTTCAAATTAACAAACTGCTCATCTCTCAGTAAAATTTACAACAGGTAAAGCACAGATAATCATTTCAAGTAACATAATTTGTGTGAAGGTCTTAATGAAGATGAGAGGCTTTCTGAGGAACGGAAATAAACAGTGTTTAGATTACTTCAAATGAGTTTGCCATTTCTGTTCTCTTCCTTCCAAGAGTTCACCTGGATTACCAACAACATTAAACAGAACACTTTAATGAGATTACCCAGTCTTGCTTTACTAATACATTCCAGCCACTAAATAACATACTGGTTATACTTTAATGAATAATTGTGTTTCAGACTAGCTATGCAGAAGTTGTACTAATCATAAAAGCTTTTAGGTTTCCATTTATAATGGAGTTGATGGGAGTTCTTTTAAGGACTTGTTTCAGACTGACATGCTAGGTTTTGATTCACCTGCTTCAAATTTAAGTAGACTTAAAAAAAAAAAGATATTTGACCTAGATGAGAAACAAGTGGTTCAACAAAGAATTGTGAACTGCTGTTGATCAGGCAATGTTGCAACAATTTAGTGAGGATTGAAATTCATTTTGACACTTGTATGTCAAAATACACTTGGTCCTCACATAATGGCTGAAAATTCTGGAACTTGTGGTCTTACCACAAGTAGAGGTGACCTAGTTGGGATAGGCTGCAGTAGATGCACCTTATTCTGTATTTACAAGTCTTACCAAATTGAAAAGTGTTTAATAACATCCCTGGAGAAGGCAGGCATTTGTGGGAATATGATCCGTGGCAAAGAACACAAACCTCAGAAAGATATCTTCTGTTTCTTTCAATCCGTTACAAATTAAAAACAGCTAGTAGCTGTGTGGGGGTAGGGAAGGGCTGAGGTTACAATGACTCAGTGAAATACTATGTTCTGCTACACCACAAAGGCTTTTTATGTCAGCAAATCTGGAGTGCTTCCTTTACAGACTACTTTCTCCAAACTCTAAATTAATAGAGGATCATTTCAGTGTGTAGAGGATCACTACATCAGGCTGTTGTGATGGGTGGTTATTTTCAGCTAATCACTGATGGTATTTGTGTATTAAAAAAAGACTGGATTGAAAATCATCCCATTAATGTTACTCAGAATTAATTTTTAAATTCAGAATAAATGAATGACTAACCATAACTCTGTAAAATAAGTATTAGCATTCTTTCATGGGGACAAAATCCAAGAATCTGGCTTAGATCTGATAAGTGTTCCTTGAATATGTTGCTTTTCTACAAGCTTTTCTGCATGATCTTCGAGTGAGATTCCCCTGAACTGAATACAACAATTTTATATGTAATCCAATACTTAATTTCATTGTGCACACTTGATCGTCTTTTCTCATGAGATAGAAGACTGTGTTAAAGAACTTCCATCCTATTTCCAACCTTCCCTTTTTGAAGAACATTGTTGAGAAGGTGATTGGGTTACAGTTACAAAGTCTCTGAAGGAAATGGATTATCTAGACCCTTTTCAGTTGAGTTTCAGGTTGAAGCTAGTACAGAGACAGCATTGATCATGTTTGTGAATGACCTGTGGCAGAGCCAGAATGGGAGAGGTGCAACCATCCTGGTTCTTCTTGATCTCTCAGCAGCTTTTGATATTACTAATAATGGTATTCTTCTGGAACAACTGCAAGGAATGGGAGGCACAGTGTTACAGTATTCTCCTACTTTCTCCATGGCCAGTTCCAGTCTGTGCTGGTAGGAAATACTGTAGGTCAAGCCCAATGCCTCTAATTTGTGGGATGCCTTGGGGCTCAGTACTTTCACTCCTCCTATTTAACATTAACATCTGCTAGAAGGGCCTTTGAGCACATTCAAAGTGTGTCATTTGCTCCCTCTCCAGGACCAAGAGGACTTTCTTATGGTCATTCATGCTTTGGTCACCTCATGGTTGGACTCTTATAATGTGCTGTATGTGAGCTGCCCCTGAAAACCATTTGGAAACTATAGCTCATTCAGGACACAGTGTCACAAGCAGTGATGAGCGGGCATGCCATGCCCATGAAACACCTAAGCTTCATTGGTTATTAGTTGGATTCTGGGTGCACTTCAAGATACTGCTTGTCACCTTTAAACCCTATATGGAATAAGGCCTAGTTATTCGAGGGATCAACAGTTTCTCATGATTTCTGCCCACTCTGGAAGATCAGGTAGAGCTGGCTCTCTCCTGGTCTCATACATTAAGCAATGCCCTCTAGCAAGACTCAGGAGGCAGACCTTCTCTGCTGCAGCTCCTGGCCTCTGGAATAGTATCTTCCCCTCTCCCCAGAGATTTGCATGGCTCTCACCTTATCAGCCTTTAAAGAGCATTAAAAATATAGCTTTTTTTTTTTTTTTTGCAGGCCTTGGGTTAGGATGACTTGGGGCCTTCTATCTGTTTTTATTTCTGTGGGTGAGGGACAGAGCTAGATGTTGTTTCCCTCTGGAGGACACCATCTTTGGGGGTTTTATTTTAATATTTAAGTGTTTTAAATGTTAAACCAACCAGGCATTAAAAGTGGGTAGCCTAGAATTTTGAAAAACAAATAAATAAGACTGCATGTCAGTCTTTTGTTTTGCATTGTTCTTGCTCTCTTTTTAGATGTTTGTAGAGCAGGAACAAAGACAAACCTGGGGGTGACCATCCCACCTCTCTCTCACACTCATTCTGTAGACACTTCCTATTGTCTCTTTCTGCCTCTCCTTGCTTTACTCAGCAGTTTGCCCATGGATCAACTGCTTTAGTCTGAGAACCCTGGAACGACCAAGAGGTGAGCAATCTCATAACAACTGACTTGTATTTAACATGTTAGGAGCTCTTCATCTGGATATAATTTTACCTATTGTCTCTCTGAAAGATGCTTCCCATCCATTGGCAGCTCCAAAGGCATCTGTTCTAAATACTAGGAGCAAGCTGTTTGAGGAACTCTTGATTGGAGAAGGAAGGATTGTACCACAGAATTTCCCAAGTAGTGGAGAAGCAATGCTTGGCCCATCATACACTGCAACGTAGTCTTTGAGACAAGATGAAGAGACCTCAAGGTGAAAGCTGTTGAATCTGTAAAGCAGATTTAACACATGTCTATGCAGAAGATAGCAGCAACAGATATAGGTTTGGTAACTAGTAGGTGCCTTGTGAAGGCAAATGCTGTGCCATTTTGGCTTACCTTAAAGCAGTTTGAGACTTGTAATAGTGAAAATATTAATACCAACAAGCACATCCTCCTTCACTATCTTTTAACATTAAACTGCAGGTTCATTGGCTGATTCTTCTGTCAATGCTTCTTTTGGGGGAACTTTTTTGGGAACTTTCAACACCAACTTTCTTTCTCATTTGTACTTCTTCAAAGTGCAAGTCATTGGCTGGTTCTAACACTAACACTAATGTGCCTTTGCAAATCTGCTCTTCATATATATTGGCTGCTGGTTCTGCTGGATATGGTTTCCAGGCTGGGTTCACACAAAATATTAAACCCTATTTCCAGGTTAACAAAAGATAATTCCTGTCTTCATATAAAATGCTATACTATTTTTTTATCATGTGTGTGTGTGAACTCAAGGCAGTGAACGTACCTAATACTCCTGCCTCCTATTTTCCCCACAACAATATATGTGAATAATACAGCATTTTATATGAAGACAGGAATTATCTTGGTTGTGTTAACCACATCATTATGTTAAGCCATATTATGATATTTGTTACTTATTATAATACAGCTTAATACAATGGTGTGGTTGCCATAACATGCTGAGACAATAGCTGGGTCCATGAGACCCTGAACCATGCTACTCAAACTCAAGTTGTCATTTTCTAACCTGCTGGGCAACTATAACTAATGAGTTGTAATTAAGCATTTCAGAGCACACCTTGTTTTTCTACTTAAAAAGAAAACAGCATCAGTTGTTATTGTTCACTAAAAATTGCTTTTGACTTACGTACTTGAGTGCCACTATTTTGTTATTTCCAACAGTTATGTAGTATGAACAGTTCATATTGTGATGATACTCGGTGAATGAATGTGTAGGGCTCTTGATTTTGCCCCTGGAGACATTAAAAGCACCACCACAAGCTTTGGTGAAAAGCACAGAAGAGATAAATGAAAAATTATGACATTGTTATTGTCCAAGAAACATCTTTATCAGATAGACACATACAGTATATAGTACATATATGCACAAGCACAATTCTATTTAGTTGGTACTTTATCTGAAAGTTCTTATTTATTCACTCAGTTGCAAGTATTTTATTGTAAATCCTGGATTAACACTTCAAGCTACGTGCAGTCATTCATCAATCAATCAATCAATCAATCAATCAATCAATCAATCAATCAATGCCCTTTAACTGCTAAAATCCATAATATATGAATGGAGGTAAGGCAAACATGAGAGCCAGTTTGGTGTAGCAGTTAAAGGCACTGGGCTAGAAACCAGGAGACTGTGAGTTCTAGTCCTGCCTTAGGCATAAAGCCAGCTGGGTGACCTTGGGCCAGTTATTCTCTCAGCCTTAGGAAGGAGGCAATGGCAAACCACTTGTCCATGTAGTCATCAGGAGTGACTTGAAGGCACAACAAAAAAGACAAACATAAACCATGTGTTAGATATAAATGAAGTTATTTGTGCATCTGATGAACTGGGATTGATTCATGATATAATAAAATTGATTTTAAAAGTGCCACAGTTTCTTTTTTTTTTTTAACTGTGCATCAGTTCCATTAAAATGAATGTGAAAAGTTAGTCATGAGTAATGTATTAATTTCAATTGTTTGGTTAACTTCTTTTGTATATAACCTCATAGAGGTATTTATAATTATGTTTATTATATTATTTATATTCTGCCTATCCTATAGGAGTGCAGGTAATCCTCAAAACAATCTTACAAAATGGCTAGGCTAGAATGAGCAACTGACAATACCAGCCGGTGAATTCCAAGATTCATAGGTGGGTTGAATCTGGTTCCATTATCCCCTCCAACATCTTAATCACAGCACCCCTTTATTTCCTTTTCCAGTTAAAAAAACAAACAAGTGCTTAAGATAGCTTCAAGAAAAAAAGTATAATTAACAATAAAAGTACCTAAGGTACAAAAAAGGTCCATATAAAATATAACAAACCATACCAATGATAAAGAAGAGAACCAGCACACATATACAAGAAATAAATTGTAAGTTGAAACTCTGTGTAAATTAAAATTTTATCAGTAGATGACAAAATGTTGTAAAGAAGGGGATGGTGCAGAAGTTCTCATTGGGAGTTATACAGCATATGTGCTATACTTGTAAGAGACCATGTTCTGATCAACCAAGATTTAGTTAGAGATGGGGCCAAAGAAGGCTTCCCTTAATGACTAGAAAAACCAGGTAGCCTCATGTGGGATGAAATGGCCATTTTTTTAAGGGCTTGTCAGTGAATATTTCCTACCTCCCTGCTTATTTATATAGTGCCTGGGAATGTCTTCCACATGCAGTCGGTCCTTCAGCTGGATGCAATAGGAGGTTTTCACTTTTCAAAAGGGGCACAGTTGAATGGCTTTCTGTTGTATGACTCTTTCAGGATGAAAGTTGATGTCCTCTTCTTCAAGATCCACTTAACAATTTGCAACAGCAGAAGCCACAGTACATTCAAGCTTCTTTTTCATTTCCCATAATGGCTTTTGCCAAGTCCAAGAGGTGAAGCTTTATTCCGTTTCACAACTCAGCAATTGTACTCTGTTTTATAATCTCGACTTGGCAAGCCACACTTTGGCCCTCTTGACAAATGGCTGAAACCCACAACTACCCAAGTTCTAAAGAATAGCCATCACATTAGCCACAAACATTTGCAAAAATTCTTTAAAGGACAATGCCTATCCCGGCTTTCTGTCTCCATTTTCAGCTGCAATGGGGTGGGGTGGGGTGGGGTGGGGTGGGGGGTCTATTGAACACTGCACTTTGGACTGTTGGGAATTAAACGACTTAAACTCAGAAAATAAAAGAATGGAATTCTTAATAAGCAAGCAAAGATAAAGATACACACACCAGCCACTTTTTTTGCCTTGTTAAGAATAAAGCTGATAGGCAACAAAGTTAATTGCTAGAATCTGCTTTAGAGGAGACAAAGCATCTAATAAAAAGCTGTAGTCATACTTCACTAATGTCAGAAAGTCAAAGGTCAGATAGCAGCATCCAATTTGAGTGAGTTATGAAGGACTTTGTCATCCTTCGTTGTTATTCTGTCTAGCCAGTGGCTATCAGGGTGACTAACTTTGAACAAAGATTGTTTATGTTCATAGGCAGTGGATTTTTATCAAAGAGAATGCAATCCCCTGCATTTTCTAATACTTCGCTTATTTGGTAAATGACAGATCAGTTCCTCCATCTGTTACCAACCCAAACTGAGATGAAGTACATATTTATCTGCATTAAGAAGAGAACTGATTTGGTGTAATGGTTAAAGGCACTGGGCTAGAAACTGGGAGGCCATGAGTTCTAGTCATGCCTTAGGCATGAAGGCAGATGGGTGACTTTGGACCAGTCGCTATGAGTCGGAGTCAAGACTGACTTGTAGGCACAAGTAAAATAAATAGTAAGAACATTGGCTGAGAAGTCATCATCAATTGAAAAGAACAAATCTTTTTGATTGCTTCCCTTCCTGACCTATTCAATGTTTCATAGTAAATTACAATTACAGCAGGCTTAGCTGTGATCTTTGACTCTATGGTCTTCAAAGTAGCCTCTCAGCCTCAACAACAGTGATTCCTACTCTGTTGTTTCTTCTCATCTACATTTTCTGGCTTGCTTACTCTAACCCGGGGTTTTTCAACCTTGGAACTTTGAGACGTGTGGACTTCAACTCCCAGAATTCCCCAGCCAGCATTCTGGGACTTGAAGTCCACACGTCTTAAAGTTGCCAAGGTTGAGCAACCCTGCTCTAACCATTTCTTCAATCTGTTTTACTTCACTTCTCCACTGAACTGTCACTCTGTAATCTCATTGTTCAAGTGAGTGCTTTGACACCCATTTGCCCTTCCTATTCTTAGCATCCCTCCTGCCTACCATTTCCAGCCAGTATTATTTTTGTCTGTGCTGGAATTTAGGGAAACAGAGTCCCAAAATATCTGGAGAAATCATGTTACAGACGGTGGGTCTAATCAATGTTATCTCCCTGATGTTCTCCGCACTGAAGTAGGGCTGTCAGATTTGGGTTGCAAAAAGGAGATAATTATTAGATAGTAGCAATGAGATACAGAATACTCTAACCCTTTGCTGCCATCTTGTGGCTGACTGGAGTTTTGCAGCCCAGATCTGGTAGCCCTAGTCTGGACTATTTCTGGGGTGAAAGAGAAAGCAAAATATTTCACCTGCCCTACTTGCTGTTGTCTCTAAAACAAAGACAAACAAACCAAACAGAACTTAACAAAACAATATCCATACAAGATTTTTGCAGAGTGGTGTCATCACTGCTCCAAAGAGGATTAATTATAAGGGGATTATTGAGGACACTGACCAATAGGTTCAATACTTGGTGACCTGGGTTCAAGTACAATCTCTGCTCTGTCACTGATTTCTGTGAATGGAATAGCAAATTAAGGCAAATGTTTTGGCTTGGCCCTGCAATATTATTTAATAAACTGTCTCAGAATGCATATTCTTCTAAACTATTGCAGTAGGAGTTGTTTGCCAAGTAAATTTCTTTGCCATATCATTTTACACTGCTAGAAGTTAATGAAATGAAATCAACCTGGAAAAATGCACTCTCAGATTCACAAGGAGCTCCACTCCATTTATGTAATGCCCTATTAAGCACAAATGCTGGGCTAGGCAGAGTGGTGGAATTTTGTGTTATTTATCCATTGTCGGATTGGTAAGAAATGGTCTTTTGTAAACTCTCTTTCTAGGTTCAGAACAATCACTGTAAATCAACAATTGCTTCAATAACACCAACTGTAGTACTACTTTAACTGTGGTACTACTTTATTAGTCTAAAATTGTTAAAACCTCTGCTTTAGGCTTGCCCTGTGCTGAAGTTGTAACTTACAAATAGGCTATCTGCAGACTTTAACAATGAAGTTCATTATTACTTAACAAGGAAGAATTTAAAGAGAAAAAGTGTAACAATATTTTCTGTAATGTGTAACAGATTTCAAGAATATTTTTGGAGATGTAGCATCTTTTAAAACTGACCTTTTTAAAAAGCAATGCAAACATAGAATTAAGTCCATCTTATTAACTAATTTGACATTTGATCAATGCTAACTGCTATATGTATATTATCTCTAACAATGGGGTTGTCTTTTGTGAAATAAGGCACAAATAGCTATGAGACTAATGATTAAATCTTCAGTATGTTTATCCATATGTAAAGTTCAGAGTTAAAGCGACTTCCTTCTGAATAAAAATACAAAAGTTAGAGCTGTACATATAGGTTACATTATCACTTGGTCCCAGTTCCCCTAAACCTCTTGGTCCCCTTTCTGATTTAGAAAAACTCACAAGGACATGAGTGTGTAACTTCTTCTAAACAACATTTGGCTCTTCCACTTTCAAAGTGCTATATTTGCGGCTACTCACAGATTACTCTATAGGTGACCAAAAATCCAGTGCCGACAGTATGGGAGTCTGTGTAGAAATTCAGCAGGGCAGATCCAACGATGCTGATAGGATTAGGGATTTCATTTCCACAAAGTGTCTCAACAGGATATTGATTAACTGCGCTCCCTTTGAAGATCTTCACTCCATCAAAAGCACAAAATTCAAAAGCATTGTGAGCTGAAATGGAGAACAGTTTATCAGTATCTTGTGGATCCGTTTACTCACCCTGTGTTCCTTTTGATCCACATTATGGAGCAAAGTTTATATTACATGGTCAGTGATCATTACTGATAAGTCAATTCCAATAAGGAATAATAGAAGTGAAATCCATTTTTTCCATTAAAAATAAGGCTTCTTTGTGTGTTAATTGTATGAAGGGGATTCATATGAGTGAAGGAACAAAGGTGCTGGTCCTCCCTATGTCCAAAATTGTGTCTGGATATGTAAATTAAGGATTTATATGTATGCCATGCAATCTAGGTCCATATGTTTGTCTTAGATGTTCATTTTTAATGCTTGTACATATGATATTAAAGGTAGAATGGGAAGAAATGTGAGCCCAAAAACATAGTTATAGAGAACAGAAGAATCTATTACTAATTAAGTAACAGTCTTTTTTCAGTATATTTTTTGCAGAAGCTCAAACCTTTCTTCTATTTTGAATGTCAAGGTTTTTAAGTTAATTGCCACAGAAATTAGTCACACAACTAACTTGTGACCCAGTGTTTTCAGTGGGATAGTCACAAGTAGTGCTGGCAAAAATGGGCCTTAAGCACTTTAAGATAGTGATGTAATACAGAGAATAAAGCATACTGGTGAATTATTTGGCATATCATGGTTTTACTGCCCCAAGTATACATAGATTAAAGATAAAGCCACTTACTGTTCAAAGCTCAAAACTGCCTACATTTTTACAAAGCCCAACTTGAAATGTACTTTTCAGAATGAAATCAGGAAATATACATGATTTGTTGTGCTTTTAGTCATACTGGCTGGGAATTATAGGACCTGTTCCATAGAGCAGTGTTCCTCAACCTTGGCAACTTTAAGATGTGTGGACTTCAACTCCCAGAATTCCCCGGCCAATGGGGAATGGCTGGGGAATTCTGGGAGTTGAAGTCCACATCTTAAAGTTGCCAAGGTTGAGGAACACTGCCATAGAGGACCAGTTTGGGGAAGGCTACAATAGGGTATGGTAATGTGAATGAGGTTTTAAGGAAGACATTTAGCCTGAAGAACTAAGAAAGAAAGAAGAATGTATTGGGAAACAAACACAAGCCCCTGATATGGAAGACTTCCTAAGAAGGGGGTGACATTTTTTTACTTCTGTAACACTTGGAGGGTGGGGGCAGGGTGGTATTTCTTTGTGATAAACAAGAAACAAGTTAACAAATAGTTGTTTTGGATTTCCACAATAAAGGCATGTGTAAAAAAGATGTATCAGCTTTTCAGCAAGCTCTCCTACTCCTTGTGTTGAAAATATCCTTCTTAGTAGAGGGAACCCAAATATTTTGAACTATGATACTACTACTAAGCAATTAAATCTTGCAACACAGATAATGAATAAAGCTGATTGTCTAGTCACAGCTGCAGAAAGGGCACATTAAATAAGAATATTAATAATGTAAAGCAACCCTCTTCATTTTAAAAGAGTTAGTTAATTTATACCTCATTTGAAAATGCTGGACTTTCAATGGACTGACCTGGGAGTAAGTCCCATTGAACTTAGTACCTAGGATTTATTTCTCATGTTTTTTTTAAATACACACCCACCCACAAACACATACCAATGCTTGCATGGTCAATATACATTTTTTTTTACAAATCAATCAATCAATCTATCTATCTATCTATCTATCTATCTACCTACCTACCTACCTACCTACCTACCTACCTACCTACCTACCTACCTACC